TTATGGTTGTCATTATTGCTATTAGTGTTTTTACTATTATTTTTAATATTTTCATTTGATTTGCTTGTTTACTGCTGTAATTTCGTCGCAGTACGAATTACGAAGGTCTCACAAAGATGGCGAGTTGTGGGCAAAACTTCAACCTCGGACGGGACTCGAACCCGTACTTGTGGATGTCATATACCCATTAAAGAAGTGAGAGCGAGCGGGGTTTCTGTCGTGTAAGCTATGGCAATATATACCATCGAGAAGGTGAGTGTAAGCGGGGACTCGGTGATACGAAGGGTAACGAGCACGGGCACAGGTTCGAGCTCTGTCCGAGGTAAACGTATCGTCCAAACTCAATATTCTTGCTAGAGATTATTGTCATCATTACTGTTATTATTAATATAAAAAAATAAAGTCTTAGGGCGGTGATTAATCCCTCCAGAGGATGCCCCACGCATTCGACTTCCATTCAGACCAAACGAGTCGGATACCAACTAAGCGACCCCGGTGGGAAGGGAAGATTGGTTGGCCTAGGCGCATATCATTCCGGGATTCGAACCCGTGACCATACTTGTGTGATGGTGCTCCACTTGCCACTACACCACCTCCGCCCCTAGTATTATATATCACTGGTAACAAAAGAATAGCCATACATCAATCACAGTTCTGGCATCAATGTCCGAAAACTCACGGAAGAAAACAAGAAGAGTATATGAACAATCAATAGGGAAGGGAATGTAAGCCTTTGAGAATGAACTGGTTCTGTTCCAGTGCATGCCATTCTTGCACCCATCTGCAGTACCCATGGTGCAGTTGGCTCTTGCTTTTCATCTAATCCCATTCTCCTTACTAATTTCCGAAATCACTGAATGGTATTGATAAATATGTAAATCATGTGTCAATCGTTCGGCGATTTTTTCAAAGCGGCTTTCTGTTATATGGAGGACAACTGAGAGGGTTCTATTGCAGTCTATGACGTACGAGCCGCATAATGTTGTGATTACCGGTGGATGTGGATTCATCGGTTCGAATTTCGTCAATTACATTCATGATGCTTGGCCGAATTGTCGATTTGTGAACGTTGACAAGCTCATTTTGAATAGTGACACTTACAATGTCAGCGAACAGGTAATTACGTTGATACCATAAGGCAACTACAAAACTGCATATAACCAGATAAACTTCTTTGAAGTAGCGTCCTCCATCTAATTCATTGTTGTGAACTTGCCGACATTATCGAAATTCAAAAGCCAATCAAAAGCAATAGTGTCTTGGAAAAGGAAAAGTATCTGAGAAATGGAAATCAAAATAGGATCAATGGCTTCCAAGATATCTTAGGTGTTCTTCTCTGAAGCCTGTATTTGGCTAACATTTTGGCCAGTCGCCTTCGTCATAGCCTGGAAGCCAAAAATATTCGGGCTTCATCCTGATCAAACAACGTTCAGACCTCAGTTTAGTTAAGGTGTGACCCATAGATATCTAGAAAAGTCTTCCAAAACACAACAGGTAAACCATCTTAAATGTCCAAAAGAAGACTGTTGACTCTCCTTCTGGAACGACGTAATTGAACCTTCAGCAGCGGGTGGGCTACGAGTTTCCTGACCACTTGCTTGACGCCGGGGACAATTGAAAACCGCACAGTTCGAGAAACGGGGCAAGCTCATTAGTTACGGCCAGACATTCATCTTTCCCATTCATTTTGGGGGTTTTCCGAGTGATCCAAAAACCTTCAAAAGCTTCTCGCGCTGGGATCGTGGGCTCCGCATCAAAATCCTGAATTATACCTCAAACTTCACCTAAACCACACTATCAGAAGTGTAAGTTAAAGTTCTTGCGAGGACAGCTCTCAACAAGCAAGGCACAGTTTGCAGAAAGCCTTACATTTTCTTTACTAGTATGGTCAAAATCTAACGAGTACGTGTTCAGGTACGGAATTCACCTCGCTACAAATTAGCGTTAGCAGACATCAAAAATAGGAAAGCCATGAGGTCGATCCTTGAAGAAAATCAGGTAACTGGGTTAACACTTCCGCTCTGTATAAAATATTTTAAGCCCTGGTCAGCTTCGCGGCATATCACTTTTAAAATTGCCCATTGATCGGAACAACTACCTAGTTTTTATCGGCAAGTATCATCAAATATTGAAATAAGATATTCTTGCAGATCGATACGGTAATTCACTTTGCCGCTGACTGCACCTCTACTCGATGCTATAACGAGACCATTGAAGCGATTGAAAATAACGTCATCGCGTTCATTGAGTTCCTCGAAGTCGTCAAGGATTACGGGAAAGTCAAGCGATTCGTTCATATCAGCACTGACGAGGTATGATAAAAATACAATAGTTCTGAACTACAGCAAATATTTTATTAAAAATTAATAGACACATCAACAATGAAGTAAAACAATTTTATTTATCAAATCGATATCTTAATTTTCTCATGCAGTGAACGTGGACGAGATCGATGATTTAATGATGAAATTATGTTCAGATATGGTAAATTTCTGCCCATAAAAAATGAAAGGTAGTGAACCTGAAAGAAAAAGAAGTCAAAGTACAAATAAAGCTGTTCAACCGAAACCTACTTAAGTTCTATATGGCGTACTTCATGGAGTTTTTTTAGGAAGTGATCCTTCAGTGTCAATTTGACAGTTGTGGCCAAATGGTAAGGGAAAGTGTGTCATAATATCTACATATAACATGACCCAAAATAGTCGAAGTCCAAAGTAGTAGTATTGGGGTTTCTGCGGCTGAACACACAAGCAAAATTCCCGCGAGATCACCTCACTTCAAGAGCAGACTGACTTATAACTGATTCTGATAAGTGAAGACAAACTCAAATTTCAATCCACTGATAACTTGCCGATGGCGATGTTTGCGTTTCCGTCGAGAAATCAAGAAAATCTTAATAATAGATAATATTAATAAGATAATTCAGATTCAGAAATCATGGCTCCAGGATCCAGTAAAGTTCAATAGGCTTATCGCCTAATGAAGCTTAGTGGCATTGCATTCTGGAGCCATGATTTCTATCACTATCATTATCTACTCTGGGATTTTGAAAATTATATTATTTTGTGCTTCCGACTGTAGCCCCAGCCCGGTTCCGGCTCTCCCTGGAAAGCCCCCTGCAATGATTCTTTCATGTATCACATGCATTATTTTACGAAGAATTAAATGAATTTTCAACCTTCAAGAAAAAATAAACTATTTTTACGTTTACATGTAATTGCTAGGCGAAACTACCTGTTGTTCAGGTCTACGGCGACTCCGGCCTCGGTGACGATGAAGCGGGAAAAATTGAAGAAAGTCGCTTGCTACCAGGGAATCCGTACGCAGCAACAAAGGTTAATCCACATCGAATGCATCAAATTTATGATTCTTCTACGCAAAAAAGAGGATCTGTTGTTGAAGATGAATTCCTTTGCACTGAGCACCCCGAGCTTTTGGTCGCTACTCGGCTAATGGCTATAACTCGTTCCGTGTACTCAAGTTATGGTTGCGATTCTCTTTTGGTTAGGCCGTATCCTAATTGTGTGTATGCTCCTATAGCATGTATTTTGAGCTTAATTTCAATCTGGTACCATTCAGATAGCCGGCGAAGCATACGTAAGAGCATTTACTGCACAGTATAACATGCCGATCATCACTGCACGGATGAACAACATTTACGGGCCAAATCAGTGGGATGTGAAGGTAAACAGTAGTTTTTATCAATTGACACCTTATTCGTTCACCTAGAAAAATAGCGAACACCTTAAAAGGACCCAACACCGCGTCTCCCTTTCCAAATAAGATCCACAAGAATAGGTCGGATCGTAACGAAACAACGATTGAAGCCTATTGGGTAGAATTGGTGGGGGGAGGGGTGGGGGCAATACTGTTTTCGGGATACGCCCTCGCAATCAACGGCTCTCCAGAATTGTATCGCCGGTTTGGTATAGTGCATGGGTGATACAATGAGTTGCAGTTGCTAGCCGATTGACGACTTAGGGTTTTTTCCTCGCTGGGGCCATGGAATTCAGCTAATGATAGCAACTTATGAAAAACACCAAAAAGTTGATGTCATTCAGGTCGTTCCGAGATTTATCGAAATCGCCAAAGTCCGAGGCGAATATACCGTCCAAGGATCAGGAAAGCAACTGAGGTAATTGAGAGACATTGTGTTTCGCGTAGAGGAGCAAGAGGTTTCGGAAGAAGCTCTTAATTTTTGATGTGCTACTCAAATGAAATGAGCAGGACCAGAAGTTCCTATGGGAGATTACCCCATGAATGAGAATAAGTGTGATTTTTTTTCAGATCATGGTTGTACGTCGACGATGCAAGTATTGGCATCCAACGGGTATGTGAAAGAGGAAAATTGGGAGAAATCTACAATCTTGGCACATACTTTGAGAAAAATGGTGAGTTTGTGAAGCACGAGTTCCCTCGCTTTTCTACAATGACCCATTTTTGGAAGCAGAGTTTGAAAATTTCAAGGGCTAAGAGGCATAAACTGTGATAGAGAAAAAAACGAAAGGGAAAAGGAAAAAATAATGGTTTAAGGAAGGATAAAAAAGGTGGGAAGAGATAACCGACCTGGTGGAAGAGGGTAGCAGTAGAAAATCGAATAAAGGAGGGGAGGTTCCAAAGCATACCAGATGGACCACAAAATTAGGAAATGAAAAGAACAAGAACGATTTGTCGTTGTTCAATGATATTGAATTGAAGATGCAGTTCACGATTGAAATCTCACGAGTTTCTGAGACTTCGCTTTGATTTTGTTCCCTCATACAGCGAAATTCCAATGCTGCAGTAATTTTTCAGTAACCGACCTCGCTTATGTGATTCAAGCCGAAGTTGTTTCCTCATGCGGAGCAATTCTAATACTGCAGCAATTTTTCAGTAACCGACCTCGCTTATGTGATTCAAGCCGAGGTTGATCGACAGCTGGGCCGGGAAGTGCTACCTCCACGATTCGTTTCCATTCCCGATAGACCATACAACGATATGCGGTACCTTATTGATATTTCAAAAGCAGAAAAGGATCTCGACTGGACGCCTAAGATCAGCTTCGAGGAAGGTAGGCCGAATTTCGTAAGCCGAGCCATAGTTTTGGAGTGTTAGGCTTTGGAATTTTCGAGTAGAGAGATGAACATAAGGGATTCAAGATAATTTTTGTATTTTTCGTGGTTCTAACAGTTGATCGCAACTCGACTTCCTAAATATCCTTCTCTAAGACTAATTCGTAGTAATGTTCAGGTATGAGAAGAACGGTGGCGTCAGGCTTACGACCGAAGGAGAGCGTCAAGATGCATGTAGCTCTTTATGGTGGCAATGGCTACGTTGGACAAGCATTCCAGAAGGTTGATATTATTAAATCAGAAACATGTATA